GAATATCTTTCTGCCGGGTCCTTGTGATATCACATAGGCGTAGGTAGAATGATATGCCCCAGAGCCAACTTCGGAGCTTCGGGAGTTTCATGCCGAAGGCTGCAGCTCGTGGCACGAGCTATCAGCGCAAGGATACTCCAGCTTTTTCATGACACTCCTGCTGGATCATAGATTGGGTGCGGCCCCCATACAGTAACAGTCTATAATGGGCTACTACTAAGGTCCTTATATCTCTATATTATGAATATCATCCAACTGTTACTGAGTGGGGGCCGTACCCAAGTCATAGACATTGTGGCCAGACACTTTTGTGGTCACCCCTCGCCGCTCTTGTCCCACCGGAGGCAGGGGAATTGGGCCCTCTGTCTCCCATGGGACTGCCATGATGCCATAAGCGCCGAACACCCCTTGAAGAAGGAATACTCTTTGACATTATAAAGGGATATGTGAAAAGAAGGTGTGCACACAAACTCTCTGTAAGTTGTAGAGGGATGCATGACATGACTGACAGTGTATTGCTCGGCCAAGGGCTATTGGGCTCTTTGGTTGAGCGCACTTTGCATCTAGGAGTCGCGACAGGACCGTGAACGAAAGTTCGTCTGAAACTCGAAACCCCTCTGATCTTCAACCCTGAAACCATAAAACTCAAATCCCGTTGCAACTCCTCCAGCTTCTCATACCAGGGTTCAGCGTGGCAGTGTAGCTGGAGCTGATATAGGGGCGTCAATAATTACAATAGGGTTTTGGGCCCATTATACTATAACTAGAATCAGGAAACCCCCACAATGGTAATGTTATTCTGAAGGCCCCTACACTAAACCCTTATAGTAGCCCTTATAGTAACCCTTATAGACCCTTTTATAAGAGCCCTTTAAAGGAAACCTATATTATGAAGGCCCCTATAGTAGCTGGAGGCTCAGGGGAAACACCTCCCAGCCCAATCGCCGGGCCAGAAGTTGAGGCTGCCGTGCTGGCTTCTTGCTCACGAACTGACATTTAGGGTGTTTAGGGTTTGGGTTTTTCGGGTTTGGGTTTTTAGGGTTTAGGGTATAGGGCTTAAGCCCTAAACCCTGAAATAAGGTTCCTTTAAAGGGGGAATAAGGTTCCTTTCAAGGGGTCTCGACAATATCGGGGCCTTAATAGCTTAAGAATTACCTAATACTCTTTTCGGGGTTCCCTTAAAGCGATCCTTAAGGGGGCTATTCTAAGGATTCAGTATAGAGGCCTTAATAATTAGAATAGGGTTCCTGTAAAAGGGGTCCATAAGGGCTACAAAAAGGGATATGGGTACTATAGTAAAGGGGCCTTACTAATTAGAATTCAGTTTTTGGGCTTATTCTATACTACAAATATGACAAGGAACCCTCAAAATAGTATAGGAAATTCTTGAGGCCCCTATAATACCATAACAAGGGGAGCATACCACTTGCTGACTATGCTTTAACCAAGTTCCTTCGCAGGATCCGAGCTGTGGCTGAGGGCTTGTGGACGATTCTTCAATCTACCGTTCATGGTTTGGGGTTAAAGGCTTGACGATTGGTGGGCTCCGAAAATCTCTGTGTGCATTAAACACTGAATAAGCCTCGTGCAGAGATCTTGGACATCTGCACTGCCTTGGAATGAAAGGGAAAATCTTCAGCTCATGGCGCAAAACGTCAGTACAGGAACAGCTCTGCTTGGTCATGGCATTGCTGCTGGATCATGGACAATGTGGGGCGTGGCCACGCCAAAAAATGTACGTAATGTTATTGGCATCACGGGAAGAGGGGGGAAATGACCCCACCGTCTCCAAAAGAACCGCGATGATGCCATAAGCGCCGAATACCCCTTAAAGACGGAATACTCTTTAACTGATTGATAAAGGGATCTGTCAAAGAGGGCTTGTGCAAACACGCTCTTCCACTGGGAAACGGATTCGCACATGACTGACAGTGAAATGCTCGGCGAAAGGGTATTGGGCTCTTTGGCTCAGTGCGGGTCGCTTCTGTGAGCCGCGAAGGATCCCAAACCGGAAACCATTGAAACTGAATCCGGAAACCCTAAATCCTTAAACCCTAAAGACCCTAAAATTCCGCAACCCCAAACCCTAAAACCCGAAACCCCAAAACCCTCAAATCCAACTCCTCCGGCTTCTTCATACCAGACCCCCGCTGCCGCAGTGTGGCAGTGGAAGCCACGGTCCCAGCCCAGTCGGCGGGATTTTGTGGGGCCTTCATAATCAGAATAAGCTCCTTTGTAAGGGCTCCTATGAGGGATTTATAAGGGTGCAAAACTATAGAGGCCTTGATAGTTAGAATAGGGCTTTGCTGTACATTAACGTGGAGTTTCACAGGAAGAAACCCTAAGGAGCAGTATTGGTAATTATTCCGGCCCCTCCTTTAGCATGTTTCAACTCAGCTGGCGGTGATGTTACACCACCGAGCCTCGCCCAACCAATCGAGAAGCTTCGGCTGCCGTGCAGAGCCACGGTTTCGGGTTTAGGGTTTCGGCTTTGGCTTCTTGCTGGGGAACTTGATGCGAGTTACCATAACAAGGTAAACATACCACTTGCCTCATGCGCCTACCTGCGCCTGCTAAAGGGGCCTGACTAATTAGAATAGGGTTTTGGGGCCATTATACTGTAGCCATAATTCGGAACCCCAATTTTGCGATGCCTAAGGCCTTGAACCAAATTCCTTCGCAGGATCCAAGCTGCGGCTGAAGCTTCTGGGCGAAGTAAGAGACTGGGGGATTTCTCAGAGACTCCAATGTCCCTTAGTTAAGGAATATTCCTCAAATCATATGAGGGATCCTACCATGGTTTAAGGTATATTCCTTGATGAAGGGATATTGGAGTCTCTGGGTCTATATTCTACCGATCATGGTTTGGGGTTTAGGGTTTAGGATCTAGAGTTTAGGGTTTGGGTTCGGGGTTAAAGGCTTGACGAGTGGTGGGCTCCGAAACTTCCGCTTCTACCGATCATGCTTCAAGATTGGCGGGTGAAGTAAAATTAAACACTGGGGAGCCTTCTTGCAGAGATCTTGGAAAACTGCATGGCATTGGAATGAAAGGGAAAATAACCTGGAAAACCAGGACAGGTAAAGGCAGATCGCCAGGTGACGGTTGCAACTTGGCTGACCCTAAGCCCTAAACCCTAAACCCTGAACCCCTAAACCTCTAAACCCTAAACCCTAGACCCTAAACCCTAAACCCTGAACCCCTAAACCTCTAAACCCTAAACCCTAGACCCTAAAGCCTAACCCCTAAACCCCTAAACCTCCAAACCCTAAACCCTCAACCCCTAAACCCCTAAACCCTTAAACCCTTAAGCCCTGAAGCCCTCAAGCCCCAGCCTGCAACCCTCAATCTGAACTCGCAGTTTAGGGGTTTAGGGTTTAGGGTTTAGGGTTTAGGGTTTAGGGGTTTAGGGGTTTAGGGGTTTAGGGGTTTAGGGTTTAGGGTTTAGGGTTTAGGGTTTAGGGGTTTTGGTGTTTCAGCGCTTACGGCTTAGGCCTTAGCGTGCAGGGGACAGTGAAGGGATTCAGGGCTTGAGGATCTTGGGTTAACCCTAAACTCCCGCTGTTGATGAAAAATAAATTCCTTCTTATGGGCGATGCAAGACTAATGTCACTAACCACAGCACATTCTGCGCTCCATAAAGCAGAGGAGTGCATTACGGTGTTTTGGGCATAAGGTTTCTCACTCAACCCACCCTAAACCCTGAACCCCTAACACCCAAACCCTAAAGTCCTGAAACCTGAAACCTAAACCCCAAACCCCTGCACACTAAACCCTAAACGCCTCAACCCTAAACCCCAAACCCCTAAACCCTAAACACTAAACCACTAAACCCTAACCTAAACTCTACACCCCTAAAACCCAAACCGCAAGAACCCCAAACCCCGGGCTCATGGTGTTTACTTAGCGTCCGAGCAACTCGGGACCTGAGCTGACCTGTGCTGCCCGCTGATTTCAAGCGCCAGGCATCTGCCAAAGCGAAAGCACATTTTAGCGTTTAGGGTTTAGGGTTTATGCAGGTGTTCAGGATTTAGTGTGTAGGGTTTAGGTGTGTTCTAGGGTATAGGCGTTTTAGGGGTTGGGGCCGGGTTAGGGTTTAGGTACAAAAACAAGATCAGCAACTGGCTTTGCGCCGAAGCGCTCTTGCGGCATGGGTAGTGCAACCCCATGCAACCCCTGTGCGACAAAAACCTGACTAGGAAATAAGGGCATACCGAACTTGGACCCCAGCAAAATCTTTAACTTTAGCTGTTTCTCATGGATTATTAATTCTAGGAGCCCAAAAATAAATTTGGTTCTAAGTACCCCTAAGAGGGGTTGTGTAATTGCGTCAGCCGGGCAGCCCCAAGAGAGAAACCGCCTCTTAGCTACCGAAAGAATGGCACCCAATGCTTTCCATCCCAACCCTCGCTAACCCTCACAGTGTTAGCCTACGAACACCGACTGAACAGTTCAAGGATGCAGGATTGCAGCCCAAGGGCCCATTCTCTGGCACAGCGGGAATGCCCACTCCGATGCGCAAACTCGCAAAACCGGACGAGAAGAGAAATACATGTAAGGATAACACCATGTTCACTGATGCTGATAACCATTCTAGTGATGGACGTAGTGCAGTCCAAAAATGTCAAGGCCGTGATGATGACAGTGAATGTGCGAGTGGTGATGAGCATGATGGAGCTGATGGTAATGGTTGTGATGATTACGGCAATTGTGGTGGCGGTGCTGCTGCTGCTGCTGACGAGGATGATGATGTCGCTCATGTTCCGATAGGTGATGGAAGCTACTATCAGTAAGTAGCAGAGTGTACTGTCGTCGCAGTTTTACCTGTTTCTGTTGTCACGGTAGTCCTGGTTTTGCAGGGACCATCCAAACACTAAACACCCAGCCCTGAAGACACCCCACAGCCTGAACCTCCACGCCATAAGCACAGCAACTCTCGAAAATCCTTGGTCTTGATGTTTAAAGCCCCCTAAACCCTACCTTTCTTTCAAGCTTAAACCCCTCAGCATGGGTTCCCGCTGCATGCATGCGCTGAATTACTCATCAACTCAATGGCTCGCCGGAGCGACATAGTCCTGCTTCCGGGATTAAGGAATCCTTTGGTAGGGTTTAGGGTTTGGGGTGTGGGGGAGTTTATGGTTTAGTAGGGTTTTGGGGTTTTGGGTGGGATTTAGGGTTTGGATTCGGGGGGAGTTTGAAGTTTAGTAGGGTTTTGGGTTTAAGATTTCGTGTTCCCAGCCTTTAGAACTTCGAGCTCTAAACACCCTAACTCGATTTACGCTTGAGGGTTTCGGGTTTCGGGCAGGTCCAAAGCCCACTCCTTGAACCCTAAACCTCAAAATTTTAAACCCCTCCACCCTAAATCACATAAGGGAATGAAAACCTCCAAAACCCTAAACCCAAACCCGCCGATCACCCTTCGTCTTCTGCGGGTAGGCCCCGCGAGCGCCCTGTGAGGGAGTCGCAAGGCTTGGTCGCAAATCTCTACCCCACGGTTCAACCGTAAACCCTAAACCCTTAAACCCTAAACCCTGCCCCCTAAAACCCTCCCCTAAACCCTAAATCCTAAACCCCTAAAGCCTCAACCCAAAAACCCCTAAACCCTTAACCCTACACCCCCTAAGCCCTGAATGCTAAGCCCTAGCCCTTATCCTGTCGCGATGGCCTTTTACTGCCCTGCCTGGTGGCTCTGGCCCTGGCCCCTGCCCAGACCCGAGCCCTCGACGACTTGGATTTCTGTGACTTAAGGCAAGGCATTAGAAACGGCCCCTCTACTATTTTGGGGGCTCCTTATTATATGGGTGGTTCCGTACTATCAGTACAGTATAATATACCTCAAAACCTTAAAAGAAATTTTCAAGGGTCCCTATATTTGTGTAATACCGGCCCGGGAGCAGATGTAGGGGTAATTACCCGAAAACCTTTTCGCGAAATCACAGGCATTTCCATTATCGAGGGTGTGGGGAGCAGATTCCAACCATCCAATAGTACACCGATGTGGGTGGTTGCCGACATGATGGTCCCTTTTGGGGTCCCTATTGTAATACGGCACCTAATATGTAGGGTACCCAAAATGGGGCCACAATTTTGACAACTTCCCATATGCTTCGATAAGAAGGCCCTCCGGTAGAGAACGTCCCCTCGCCCTAACGACCGTAACCTGTAAGCCTTGACCTCTCACATGCTTGCTGCTGGCGGCTGGCTTTGGTTGGGGTTTGCTGTGAGTAGTCTCTGGGTGGTCCTGGGGTGGGCACGTCTTCATGCTAGTGTGTGCTAACCACCGCGCGACATGTCGAGCACATCCTAACCCCTAAACCCTAAACTTTAAAACCCTAAACCCCTAAACCCTAAACTTTTAAAACCCTAAACCCTAACCCCCGAACCTTAAACCCTAAAGCCCTTCACCCCTAGAACCCTAACCCCTAAACACCGTCATTGTCCTGTCGGCAGTCTCGAGAGCCTCCAACGCCCTGGGCAATTAGTTTTGTCACGGACCTCAATAATAAGACTATGGCGATTACGGCTTTCGGGTATATCATATACAAAATAACAAGGAGCCCTCAAGATTAGCCTCAGGCCCATAATTGAGAGCTCACTGGAAAGGGCTTCGGGTGTAGCGTGTCGGGATTTTGGGTTCCTGTTTGGGGTGTAGGATTGCTAGCATGTCGGGTTTCATTTTTAGGGTTTGGGGTATTACTATTACTATTAATATTACTGTTACTATCATGACTATTACCAGATAATTATGACTATTATTTCAAGTCGGGGTTATCGTTTTCCGTCTGGCAGCTGCGGCTCTGAACGAACCGATACAGCGAACTTGTAGTAGAAAACGTCCCACGCAGGCTTGGGTTTCGGGGTTTAGGGTTTAAGGGTTTCGGGTTTGAGTCATGAGGGTTTAGGGTTTGAGGGTTTCGGGTTTGAGGGTTTCGGGTTTGAGGGTTTCGGGTATAGGGGTTTAGGGTATAGGGGTTTAGGGTTTAGGGTCCGGGGTCGAGGGTTCAGCTTTGGGCTTTGTTTTGAGGGCTTCAGTATAGGGTTTGAGGCCCTGCACAAGCCCCAAAAGCTCCACCGAATGCTTCCGAGGGCTGTAAACCTAGAGACTCCAATATCCCTTAATTAAGGAATATTCCTTAAATCGTATTTGGGATCCTACTATAACTTAAGGTATATTCCTTAATTAAGGGATATTGGAGTCTCTGGGAAGCTTGACGGCGTCAAGTCTGCGCATGGAAGCTTAATAAGGACCCCTAGGTATATACCCTTAATATAGTCATTATATACCCAGTATATAGCCCATTATAGGGTAGGGGGGTGTCAGACTTGATGTTTACGGCTCAACTGTTGGTGGCATTGAAGCCTTTGCTTGGCACTGTTGTGTCTGGCTTTGGGTTCATCGCTTTGGTTTTGGGTTTGGGGCCAGCCTAGGGTTTAGGGTTTAGGGTTTAGGGTTTAGGGTTTAGGGCTTAGGGTTTAGGGTTTGACTTAGTTGTACAGTTTGTGGCTTAGACAACACATCCTCCGTCCAAGCAGCTCGCGATGGGAACCATCCACATCCTTGCTGCCATTGTCGAACAAATCTACCGATTGTCTTGATGTCTGTCGAAGATCTACCGGAAACCCCCGCTCATGATAAATGAGACAATCCCAACACCCATTCTCTCACTCTGTCGGTTCACACAACTCTACACTTAAACCCTGAAAACACCACGCAGATGGGCATGGCCCGAACCCCCACCCCACCACCCCCAAGGAAGAAAAAAACAAAACAATACTAAACCCTCCATGACAAATCCTAAACCCTAAACCCCAAACCCCCTGTATAAAGTCCTAAACCCCAAACCCCCTGTCAAAAGTCCTAAACCCCAAACCTCCTAAAAATCCTCGACCCTAAACCCCCAACCCCCTTTGAAAAAAACATAAAATTAAAAACTACGAAAGACGGACAAGGCGCCGCTTTCTGCGCGATCTGGAGCGCCGTGCGGCCCCGGGATGTCTTCCGCTTGGGGTCTGCTCTTGCAATGAGCAGTGTCTTTATAATCACCTGGGTTCAGGGCTTCGGGGCCTATTGAAAATTTTTAAGAATTGAGGGTCTAAGACTTTAAGATAAACACATGGGTTCAAGGCTTTAGGGTTTAAAATAGAGGATTTACGGTCTACGGGTTTAGGAAAGCTCTCTCAGCCATGAGAAATTCTTCGAAAGCTTTTTACAATGACGTGCTTCTAGTGAGGGCGTTCTCGAAGTTGACCACAACACATCAGCTAGGTGGTTCTGCTTGCTTTTACATGCCTTTTTGGACGCTCTTGACAGAGCCACGACTAGCAACAGTACAGCAGAGCCCCCTAAACCTAACACCCCGTACTCTGAATCAGCCATTTCTGCTGCCTGGCTCTGAAGATCTTGCAGCTTAGAAAACCCCAAACCGTTAAAGGGCTTGGATTTGCTGCCTTTGACTTTTTGGCCTGGGGCTCCCGCGGTGTAGGTCAGCCCTATATGCTGTAAATCTACTCCTAATATGGACGTCTTTCAAGGCTTCAATACTAGGATCCCCATCAAAAACTCCTTATTGAGAGAGAGGGTCCATGAAATACTGGGTTGTAGTTTTGGGGCTCTGAAAAGGTTATGAATAGGTACCTCTATAGGAACCATAAGGGAAATTAAAAAGTTTCCCAAGTTGCCACCTAGAATATTAATTAGGGTCTACATCAGCCCATTCTTCTCAATCGTCGTTGCTGAACCCGCGGGCACCTGAAATGCTAGGGGTGGAAACATGAACCTTGAACCCTCATCATCGCGTTTGGGTTGCGAGTTTAGGGTCTCAGGAGCTGTCGGAGTGTGGAAAGGTCACTTCGGCCAAGGGTTTAAAGTTTCCACCTCTTTCGCCTCCGAGCGAAAGCAGAATTTCTCATGACGCCCTAGACCCGAACACCTGAATCCCCAGCCGTGAAGCCTTAACGCGAAATCCTGAAGACTAACTTGCAAACCCACATGAAGACATTCAAGCTCTGGTTCTGAGCCCCACACCCTATACCCTACTCAAAGAAACATAAAGAAGCATAGAAAACGTTAAATCCCAGTCAATAAAGCCCGGATAGAATGCTACTGCACCCAAAACCCCAACCCTAGGCCCAAAACTCCAAACCCTCAACCCAAAACCCTAAACCCTAAACCCTAAACCCTAAACCCTACACCCAAAAACCCCAATCCCCAAACCAGAAACCGTGCAGGGCACGTCGTGGCCAAGCTTGGCTGCGACGTGGATGGCGCACATAGACTCAGGCCTGATCCGACACAGGATTCAGGATTTAGGGGTTTAGGGGTTTAGGGGTTTAGGGGTTTCGGGGTTTAGGGGTTTAGGGGTTTAGGGGTTTAGGGGTTTCGGGGTTTCGGGGTTTCGGGGTTTAGGGTTTAGGGGTTTAGGGGTTTCGGGGTTTAGGGGTTTAGGGGTTTCGGGGTTTAGGGGTTTAGGGGTTTAGGGGTTTAGGGTTTAGGGGTTTGGGGTTTAGGGGTTTAGGGGTTTAGGGGTTTAGGGGTTTAGGGTTTAGGGATTTAGGGGTTTAGGGGTTTAGGGGTTTAGGGGTTTAGGGGTTTCAGGGTTAAGGGTTGAGTCAGGGTTCAGGGGAAGCTCTCACCGGTCCAAGCTCTGTATGTGGTGGTTAAGGACTTCTTAAAAAGGGGGTTTGAAATTCCAATCCCGAAGCCCCCTTAAAAGTCTTGAGAGGAAGGATTTGTATAGGAAGTTTGCAGGTTTCGAGCAAATACTGGATTTCGCGGTTTCATCGCTTTACAGTTTAGGGTTTAGCTCTAGTACCTAGGGACCGGGCTGGGACGCTACTTGAAGGATCATGGGAATTAGTAATACGGGTTATAAATATGGTAACTCCGGTTATAATTACTTGTAACCCCAATTAGGGTACTTATAACCACACTTACTAAGTCCCATGATCCTCCAAGTAAAAGATCGTTTTGGGTCAAGATCTGCCCTGCCTGCAACCCCTCAGCCCAAAAACCCGCGCCTGAAAAGAAAACAGCCGCTGGGCACCTGCAGCTCATTCACGTCCATCTCCTGATTATTTCAGGGCCGTGCGCTCTTCTTCGCTTTATGGTAACGCTGCTAGTGAGGTGTTTACAGTTCAAGGTTCATGTGTTGGTCTGTCGGGTTTCTTGACTTGGGGGCTGTCTGCACGCTGCACGCAGCAATTAATGCTCGCCATCGTAGCATGCACCCTCTATGGCCGTTATGCTCGACGGACATATCGAGTCACCGCGCACCCCATGCCGGGCGTGCATGCGCCGTCATTGCGTCTGCAACTTAACTTAAAAGGTCATGGGACTTAATAACTGGGGTTATAAGTAAGGTAAATACAGTTATAATTACTTTTAACCCCAATTAAGGTACTAATAACCCTACTTACTAAGTCCCATGATCCTCCAAGAACGTGATGTGAGCAGGGAGCGAACGCTTGTACGGCTTTGCAAGGAGCACAGAGTGCTGAGCGAGATTAACGCCCAGCCAACGGAACATTCCTACAATCATAATAATACATCCTACCAGTACACAATTCAAGGACTACCCCCGTCTTGAATTATATCGGGCTTTCCAAGGAACATGTAACGAACATGCAGCGAATACCGCCATGGAACCCTTCTGAAAATCTTAGCGGAAACCTTATCGCAGCTTCGTAAACGCTTTAGTAACATACCCCAGATCCAGAGATCCGAGGTACCACCCCCCCCCCCCCACCCCCACACACAAACAAAACCTAAAAATCAGAAACAGTGCACTCCCAAGAGGGTTTCGGGGTTTTGGGCTCAGGGGTCAAAACTTTAGGGTTTCGGGTTGGGTTCAGGGTGCTGGAAAACCAATGCTATCAACCCTTCAACCCTCAACAAACCCCCACCTCTGTTTCAGGGCACATTGATATTGATTGCTTTCATCAAAGGACAAAAGGAGGGACCCTTAATGGGGATCCTTACCCTAGAACGGGCTATATAATGGGCATATAACGGCTATCTTAAGGTTATATACCTAGCGGTCCTTATTAAGGGTCCCTCCTTTTGTCCTTGGATTGTAAAGTTTCGGCTTTATGTCTAGAGCTGGCGGTATATTTAAGACTTCGGGTTTAGGGATTTGGGCTTTCGGGTTTAGAAGCATCGGATCAGGGTTTACGACTCAGTGTTTAGGGCTTCCCCCACACCTGAAACGGTGATAACTAGTGGTGTTTAGACCAACAGCCACTTCGAGGTGATGAAAGCTTAGGGTTTAGGATTTAGGGTTTAGGGTTTAGGGGCAAAAAGGTCGGCCTTCCTGCCACTGTTTGGGCTTAGCATTACGTAGTCAACCACCTACAGATACCCCAAACTCTAAACCCGAAACCCTGAACCCTAAACCCTGAACCCTAAACCCTAAACCCTAAGCCCTAAGGAGCCCCCAGTAAAGAAGCCTTGAAATTCGAGGAAGCCTTTTGAACTAAACCAGTAAAGGAAGCCCACGTAACCTACCTTTTTAAGGACTTATATAAAGAAATCATTTTAAGGAATCCTCAAAAAGTAGGTTCCTTTGGGTCCAGGTAAAGGAAGCCTTGAATGAACCCTGGGCGACCTCGAAGCTGTAGTATCGTAGCCATGCGCTGATGTGGTTCCTTGTTTAGGGTTTAGGGTTTAGGGCTTAGGGTTTGGGGCTTAGGGTTTGGGGCTTAGGGTCCAGGGGTTTAGGGGTTTAGGGCTTAGGGTTTAGGGGATTAGGGTTTAAAACGCCGCTCAAGGATTTGAGGTTTGAAACACCCCAAGAGGGGTAGTACGGGCTTTGAGCCTGCGGCTTTCGGATTTAGGGTTTGCGCCTTCTGCTTTTTTCGCTTTGGGGTTCGGATTTACTCTTTGAGTTGCTGGAAAATCCATGGTCTATCATGGTCTGTCGCAAAGGGTTTTGGGCTAAGGATGCGGAGAGTTGTCAATGAGGGTTTGGTGGGGCCCGGAGTTGGTTTGTAAGGAAACGGTTGATAATATAAATCCTGCATTACCTTAAGGGCCCCAAACTATGGGAATTATGGTATACTCCTTATTATGGGTAATGCAGGATTTATATCATCAACCGAATCATAGTCAACGAATGCTAAACATGACCAGGTTATTTGGGAGTCAGGTAGGGTCCGAACCGTGTCTGACACATGACGCTGTGATTGGCACCATGGCAACGTCCATGCAACTGGCTTAAAAGCGGTGTGACAACGATGCAGTTGGGACGTACCCCTAATCCCTAAACTCGAAACCCTTACGCTCGAAACCCTTAAACTCGAAACCCTTAAACTCGAAACCCTCAAACTCGAAACCCTTAAACTCGAAACCCTTAAGCTCGAAATCCTCAAACTCGAAACCCTGAAACTCGAAACACCTCCACCCTAAAACCCAAAACAAGAGCCCCTGAGGCATCTGAGCCCTTCGCCTTACAAACCCTCAGCCCCAATCCCGGGCGGGTTTAGGGTTTAGGGTTTAGGTTTTAGGGTTTAGGGTCTAGGGTTTAGGGGTTAGGGTTTAGGGTTTAGGGGTTAGGGTTTAGGGTTTAGGGTTTAGGGTTTAGTTCGGCCTGAAAAAACCTCACCAAACCAAACCAACGTCTGGTGGCATCCCCTGCTAATCCCTATGTCGCTATGCTTAGAGTACAATATGCCCCAAACCCTCTTCAAATCATTCAAGCCACCATTACTAAACTGATGCGTAAGACAAGTTCGGGTTGTGGCCGTGCTCACCGCTTATCCTGTCTGGTTCTTAGTAGGGCATGGGGAAATGGGTTATGGGACTATTGTGGGGATTATGTTGGGCCTACTATTGGGATCCAATCCCCCATTCCCTACTAAGCACCAGGGAGTATCCCCGCGCCATGGCCTGCAATGTCAAGCCCTTGGCCCCCGAAAAAAGGCCGAGGCCCTAATTAATCTCTGAACCAGACATGCGCAAATCTAAATCAAGGGTTCAGGGTTTAGGGAAATGCGAAAACCTAAATCAAGGGTTTAGGGTTGAGGGGAAACTCAAAAATCAAAATCAAGGGTTTAAACCATAATCCTGCCACCCAGGGCTCAATGCCTTCATCTTCACCCGCTCTCTCCGAGTATGGCCAGCCATCATCTCCTTGAGACACTGAAGCTAAGCACGGCAAGCTGGGCGTTGATGGTGTGTGGCTTTGCTCGTTATTAAAACTCGCTAGCTGCTCTGGGCAATTGAAAACCCAAAGGGTCCGAGGTACTGTTCTGGGGGGTACTTCCCCAAATCAGAATAGTAATTTCCAAAAAAAGAAACCCTACATTCTACCATATAGGTACTTTGGACCCTTTGGAAAATCCCTAAACCCTAAACCCTAAACCCTAATTCCAGTTTTTCGACCTGACAACCAAGACGGCCCCAGACGGTCAAGCCTTGCATCACCCTGCGGCTTGCGCTCTCAAAAGCATCCGAGGCACATCATCGACTTCATACCTTAAAGGTTCTGATTACAACCCTAATACGACATTTTTTAAGTTTATAGCGACTCGATTTATAAAAAAAATAGGCTTTGGTAGGTTCAGGTACACTTCATCATCTAGCTCCGGGAATCTCTCCTGGCCCTTCTCGTGTTGCTTTGCGCGCCGTCGTCTTCCCAACTTCGGTGTTGGCGTTGGTGCTGGTATGATGGAAAAGGAATGGCCCTCATCAAAGATCACGGAGCCCGGAATGCTTGTGGAGGTCCCGGCATGGGCAGAAAAAGCCATGGCTGAGAACGCCAACCCTGGGCCCCGAGAGACTTGAGCTGCACGTGCAACAGATCGCTGTGGTTTAGGATTTCGGAAGTTCAGGGTAGTTTAGGGTGCAGGTTTGCTGCACGACTAACAACAACAAGCGCAACAACGACAACGACAAACTAAATCACGACCTTCGCAGTCCATTACTCCTAACCCCCACTCGCACACCCACTGCTACTTTTCGTCCTACTCCACCCCTACTCTTCCTCCAGCTTCTCCTCCTCGTAGAAGGATCATGATTACAGCTAACACTGACTACTGCTACTGCTGCTGCTGCTGTAGTACTAGTACTAGCACCAGTACTTGCAATTCGTGCTTGCATGACAAGTACGACTCCCACCGGCTAGTTGTAGCAGCAGTGGTCGTGGTAGCGGAGCTGGTGCTGGTACTGGTATTGGTACTGGCAGTGGCACTGGTAGTGAGTAGTGGAAGTGGTATCATCATCACACTCGCTGCGGACGGTGAGGTCGCATTGCGATGACTCGAGCGGGGTCACCCGGCGCACTGTGGCGCTCGATCTCGATTGGATCGACTCATCTAGCTACGTAGCTACGCTGCCCCGAAGGGCCTATGCTGAGGTTGCAGCACTCCTCATTCGGTACACAAGGATGTAATTGGAGGTGGACAAGGCTTCTGGTGGGACCGATTGCGCAGGACTATTGTCATCGGTGTGATGCCACACGTTCGCTGTTCCTGAACGAGGTTTGAGTGCAGCACGGTAGTGCCCACTGACCGTGGTCGGTCCAATATGCTGGACAATCGCCTGAAGCTGATACGTTCTCCAAATGATACCTTCCGGGGATGAGGGAGTCCATTGTGGGAAGAGGACTTCTGGATCAGCATCTATGCGATGGTCACGTTTGGATGCAATGCCCTGTTCATTGCGAAAGCGGTTGAGCTGTACAGCCACAGCTTCAGTACCTGCAATCAGGGCGTGGCGACGTTTCTGCGAATACCAGCGATTGATGCAGGACTGGGCAGTGGTGGCAATTGTGTCAGAGGCATCTTGCATTCCGGAAAGTATGAGTGGGCAGACCCCGCCTTCATCTAGAAGCATGTGGCTGTCGTCAAAGGACTGCCAGAGGCCCTGGAAGCAGGGCGCATTGAGGACTTGGTGTAAGTGGAGGAGGAAGTCCGCTGCATCATGTTGCCTGGCTGGGTGGGACCAGCGTCGCATTGCCTGCCTCCACGGGAGGAGCGACCAGAGTGTCACTTGCTGTTGTTTGCGCGCCTGGGCGATGAAGCTCCTCAACGGTTCCCTGTCCAGTACCTGAAAGGAGGAGGGGGTTTGGGACACAAGCCAAAGATAAATAAAAAGGCAGGCATGGGAGTAACAGTAGTTGGAAGGATTGCGGAGCTGCAATGTCGGGAGCAGGGCTGAGGTCTCGGCGGCTGTCTCGGCATAGGGATGTGCATGGACTGGAGGAGGGTCTGCAGCTGTTGGGCCAAGGCTGATCTCTGGAGGCGATCCGGACGAAGGGTGCAACCGATCATCAGGAGAGAGGAATTGTGTGAAAGGAGCTGGAGCAGCTCCCAGAAGCGAGCCGTGTGCTCGCCCCTCCAGCCCACTTCCAATAGCCAGGTCACTGTGCTGCCTTCCATTTTCTCCTCCAGCTGGCGAGTGGCATGGAACCTGTTGAGCAGTTGCGGTTGTACACTCAGCGTCGCTAGCTCCTTTGCAATCTCCACCACTTTCTGTGCCGTGAGCGGTTCGCGATCGGGAATGGGCTGCATCACTCCCTCCTTGTTGTTCCATTTGCGATAGCCGAACCCCGTGTTCGGGTTGTAGAGCTCCATTTGGATCGCCTGTTCTCGGGCATCCTCCTGGTCGATGACCTTCTGGGCACGCTGAGACAGCTCGAGCATCAGTTTCTGCCACAGAATGATGCGCATCGGATGGGTGATGGATTCCGGGTCGTTCCACCGCAGCTCGTGCCATCCTTGGGCTGTGGCGAACAGCTTGGGGAGGACAGTGCCCGGGGGCTGAGTCGTGAGGAAGAGGATCCAGGTGGTGGATTGCTGTAGGACTGAGAGAGCGTCCTCGTGTCTCATGAGGAGTCTGGCCATGGTGTGGCACATGAGAGTGAGGTCTGGACCTGAAGAAGGCCCGTATCCCTGTCCTTGTCGCTGCCATGGGGGTTGGGGGTGGTATCCGGATGGGCGACCCCCTTGACGTCTTGGCGGACCTCCCTGAGGTGGAGGGCGGTTGGCAGGGTTCTGTTGGCCCTGGGCGCCACGGCCTGTTGAGCCCTTTCCCTTGCCTGGTTGGGTGGCTCCTTTGCTGTTGTCCCTCTGCCATTTGGAAGGTCTGTCGGGGACTTCCGTCGATGGAGGATTCGAGGAGTCCGGCATGCCTCCCTGTGGTGGGGGTTCGCTCATCAGTGTCGTTGGGGCCATCAGGGGCTGGGGCTGCTTGGGTATCAGCCGGACCTGCGCTTCGATGCTCTTGAGCTCCTGAGTGGCTTCTTCCAGGTCCTCCGGGCTCACTTGGTGCGCATTGAACATCGAGGGGAGAGTCATCGCGGACCTGAGGCAGGTGGTTCGAATGATGTAGCGCATGCGTGGCCTGTAGCAAATGAACCAGAAACAGGACTGCACACTCAGTGGCATGCTTGATGGGCGCTCCTGTTAGGGAAAGGCTGCAGTAGCGACAGGTGCGACCAAGGGCCAAAAGCCTGCGGTGGGATTTTATGCGCTGGACTGCCTCTTCACAGCAAGGGATCATTGGGGAGTGTTTGGCTTTAATATGAGCTCGAAGGCCACGCGCTTGGGTCAGCCACTGGTGACAGTACGGGCAGTGGTGGACTGCCTGAGGGAGCATCTTTTTCAGCCAGGAGGCGAGCTTTTCCCAACTTCCGACTAGGTAAAGCTGACATTCAGGCCTGTGGTACAGTGGAGTCGGGTTGAGATTGTGTTTTGGGGGTAGGGCGTTAAAGTCGTCTGGGACCAAAGTTCGGCAGGATTTGGTGGAGATGTGTATTCGTAAGTTATGCCACGAATCACACTGGCGGAGGCAGTGTCGGCACTGTGGGAGACCTTCTCGACCATGCTGCCAAACAAACAGAGCATGTTCATCTGCCGCGAAGTCAGGTAGCGAGGCCGGGGCCGTGGTAGCATCTGGGTCCATCATGACGGCTGGAGTAGAGGAGGCGTGATCTGGGTCCGGAGCCTGAGCAGGAGTTGGGCGCAAGTCCGAGGAGGCAGGTGCCTGTCGTACTTGAGTGTGATGGGACTTCCGCATGTGGAGACGGACGGCCTGAAGGGTGCTATAGCCAACTCCGCAGATTGGGCAGTTGATTGGCCGATAGCTGAGAACGCTGCTGATGGGCTTGAGGTGGGCGCGAGTAGAGCCTCCCCGAGAAGGGGTCATAGAGGCAGAAGGGTCGGATGCAGAGACAGCAGGCGTCGTCGAGTAGTCCTGCAGCAGATCGAACCAGGTTTCCTGCGCCGCAGTTGAAAACTCCGGGGCTTGTTGGAGATGTCGTTGGATCCGCTGGTCAAGGGTGTCGCCTGGCGGGTCGAGTTGGCTTCTGAGGAGTAGGTCGTGGGAGGTAACTTTGGTGATGTGGCCCGGTAATTTATGGATGAGGCGGAGCTGAGCGTGGACGAACTGAGAGAGGAGGGTGCGGAGTGGTAGGTGATGCCTGTGGCCTCCAGGGAGTAAAGGACAACCGGGTAGACACATGTCTTCCATACGCGGATTTTGCTGTCTAGGGTCAGTGCTCGACAGCGGTCAGAAGAGTCATCAGACGATTCCTCAGAAGACTCATATGCACCTTCGGGGTTTCGGTCGGTACAAGGGATGTACTCAACACGCAAGACCGAGCAATTCTCACATCGAAGATACGTGTCCCCATGCTGCAGCTCCTGTGAGCCCCCATGGATACAGACCTGATGCCCGTCGGGAAGCCGATCTGCAAACCGACGCTCGAGTTCAGCCAAAGGAGCAACACCCCTGTCAAGAATGCACCAAGAGAAGTCCTGCAGAATTGCCCTAAGATCGAAGAAGACTACGACCTGCGGCGCAAGAACACGTCCTGGCGGAACTGGTGTGCGCCTCAAAGCGGTAGTGGCGAGCAAGACAGCTTCACACGGGTTGCCCAAGTGCATGCAATCAGAGATCCTGGGCCTGGCGACCTTACATGTGAGAGATTCAACGTCGCATGTGAGGGCGACTGCCGCCGCGGCACGAAAGTCGTCAGTCTCTCTGATGAGCTGCCTGTCAATCTGTGCCAATCGGGGCAAACCGTCCGTAAGGAGCAGGAATGTATTCCTGCCTTCGACGACAGGCCTGGGCGACTCATCGTCCCACAGCCCAGCGCGGTTTAGCTTGAAGGGTAGATCAAACAGACTTGGCAGAGAAGACGCCGGGGGAAGGACAGTAATGAGGTCCCCGGATTCAAAAATGAGCGGGCGCCCAGGGCTAGCAAGGCGCTGCCGCACATAGACGTCAATTGGCCCTCTGCCTTCCAAGCCCGTCTGCAGGAGGAAAGACCCCCATTGCATCCACGCGTCAACAACTAGGGGGAAAAGCCTACCATCAATCTGCCTGGTGTCGAACAGGGCAATCACTTTACTTGCCGGCCAAAGCGGCAAGGCAAGAATGCACCCGAAGCCGACTTGTGGTTGGGGGCGGACAGGCGTCATGAACTCAAAGCGCACCGCGGTGTCAAGTCCTCTGGCGATAGAGAGTAAATCGCCTGTCTCTCCCTCCCCAGCTGGGAAGTCGACATCAAGTCCGATAACTTCTGGCGTGCAGCTGGGTGCGAAGACCGCGAAATGCACTGTCTTCGTCACAAAACGCACAGCAAAATTATCCTCAAGGTCGTTGGCCTGATGGCTGGGTGGGCTGTCCCCGCTCTGCGGTCTAGCATGAACCCTGAAAACGGCTCCGGCACAGACATGCACCTGGGAATCTCCTCGGTCACAACCGGAGACGTAAATCTCAAAGCCCTGTGGCAGATGAATGT